GTCAAGGTACTGTCATACTGTGTACTCTTCAGCTATTTGATAAACACAGCGTCAGCACTCTTAAGCAGATGCTGGTTTAGTATCTTAATGTGCTGTGCTCAGGAAGACATGCTGCATTCAGTGAGAAAGATAATCTATTTTTAAAAATGAAATAGTGGGTTGGGTATGCCAATAGATTAATCACTTTTCACATCAAATCTGTTTGAAATAGAAATACTTCCTATAGTATGATAGCGCCCTGTAGCAGCAGAGCTGATGAATTAAATGTGAATTAAATGTGCATGATTGCCTCAGGATCTGTACATTCTAAGAACTTTGTGAGATTAGCAGGTATGTGAAAAAATGGTAAATAGAGAATGAAGCCACTTCCTTTCTTTTGCTGGTTTCAATCCCTTTTTTTTCAGAGGGGCTCTTTTCTTCTTTTTTGAACATTCATTTGAAACCTTTGCAGTGTGCCAGTATAAAAAAAAGTATTATGGAACATTTACACAATAAGCCAGTCACCCATCCTGTCATTTTCCACATCCCCATTGTCATTATTTAAAATCCTTATGCTCGAAGACAAGTTTTTCTCCCTCCCAACCCAAATTCTATTTTTGAAGTAGACTTGTAATTGTGTGTTTGTTAATAGAGCTGTCTGTTGCCATGAGCAAAGTGAGGTAACCAATTTTCTATTACAGCTTAGCCACAGAGTTAAGGACTGTAAAACAGCTAGCACTTATTTGAATGCACCATTATTTTTTTTTGCTTGCTTTATATTGTTTTATTTTGTTCTCCTATCAATCTAAACAATATTTATTGTATTTACTAGCTGATATGAACTAACTTGTATTCTGATAATCTGGAGTTATTCCTAGTGTTACAGTTTGTATGTGACTTTTGTATTTAATAACCAATCTTGGAAGTTCTCCATTTAAACTTGGCAAGAATTTTCCTGGAAATAAATTGGGAATTAATGTGTATGAAACATTTTTTAAATGTCTTATTTTCTATCATCTCAGTATTATTTGCTAACGAGACATTCATATGGTTACAGATTGTGTTATATTGTTGCATCTAGTGCTCAAAATGTTTATATTATTGATTTATATTTATGCGCTTTCAAAACCTTACAGTCTATACAGATCACTGTAATTAATTTTATTAATTTGCCATCATTGCTAAGGTTTATACTGCCATTACAGTTTTTTCTAATTCTGGTATTTTTGACCATCTGTCTTAAACTCTTAGACTATTTTTTAATAATTTGTATGTCCCAGAATGGATGAATGATTTTAAAACATGAGACAGATTCATAATAATAACCGTAATGGCTACCTTGAAGTTAGCAAGTTACAGCAGTATGTCTGTGACAATTCAGAGCAGTCGAAGTTTGGGCTCAGAACATTATAATCTTCAGTACCTTACATCCTTAATGAACGCATTATTTATAACTTGAAACTAACAGTTTCAACAAAGCTGAAGATTAACACAGAATCACCAACAGGAGAATGGAGAGGAGCATGAGATTTATAATATGTAATGATATTTTTTTGGAAAGGCTATTTCAGGCATTCCTGCCCTAAAACCAGCAGCATTAAAAACCATGAAAAAATATGTATAATTCATACCAGATGTATTTTGTTGATTTCTGTCATGATGAGATTTCTCCATTACTTTAGATACTTGTTCAGAAGCCACATTGCAGATAATTTTTTTTTTATTTTTCCCATAATGACATTCATTTTATGTGGTAATAATGTAAAAAAAAAAAATGTTTGTTGCATGCTGAGCAAAAGATAGTTAAGCCTTAGGATAGAGGTACCTCATCCTGATCACCCTCTAAGGAGGGATAAAAGAAGGTTTAAATATAAATATTTTTAAAAAGAACAGTACAAAATTAATGAACTATGCGGAGATAAGTTTTGCCAAGTTACTTAGTTTCTGTGAGTGTATAAAAATACATCTGCATTTTGTCAAGAAATCAGAAAAGCTGGACTAAGCAATCCCAGCACTGCTGAATGGAGAATTCAGCAATTCAAGGGTCCCAGGGCAAAAACTGAAACAGACAAAAGTTGGAACTATAACTTTATGCACACTGGCAAATGCGTTAACCTGAGTGTATTTGTTGCTGTCTTTCTATCATCCCAACAGGGTGCTTCAGCTGTAGCAGAAGCCACAGCTTCACTTACTGCATAGAGAATTCCAGCTCTTTCTTCCCTGGTTTCAGTACAGACATAAGCCACATTACCCACATTACAACTGAAAATAAAAATCAAGCTGGGATATCTTACAGAGTGATTTGAAATTTAGCAGATAGTAGTGACAGTTTTTTGATTATGCATCAACTCAGGAAATGATTCCTGCTGAAGATTTTGCGTAAGCATGTTTGAACACATGCTGAATATTAAGTATTTGTCCAAGAGATTTTAAAAATCAGTATCTTGCCCTCTGACTGAAAGGTTGCTTGGGGGGTGGGGGAGGGTTGGTGTTTCTTTTTCCCCACAAACTTTATACTATTACCAGGTGAGGCAAACTCCACCATTCTGTGCCAGCACTCACCATACTTTTAGCTCATCCCAGTTACAATTGTGTATTACCATGACACTGGAAAATATTGATAATGTAGCAGCAGGAAGAAATATTTGCCATTAACACTGTTCTCTTTGGTTGTGTATTTTTACTGACCTATGATTCTGTCAAAGGAGCATGCAGAGCATTGGACTGTAAATTGAAAAGGAGGGATTCAGTAGAGTCAAGCCTTTAACTCATTGTATGATGATGACTAGGACACTGACAAGTCCCCTGGCTTAAAATTAATGGGGTTGTCTGCTTTAAAGTAATTTAAAAATTATAAGTAGAAAATTCCATGTAGGGACATAGTCGTAATGAATCAGTTTTGTTGTCCTGTGTGATAGCCAGAACACCAGAATGCACAAATGCTTCATATTTGTGTGTCATTAATGAATGTATTCACAGCTTGGTAGAAAACAAAACACCTTATTATCATTATCTGATGTTTTTACAATGCATAAAGTATGCTTGCCTTTTGTTAATACATAATAAATACACCTGCGCAGAAGCTAGTCTTTGGCAGGTATGAATAATAATCTTAAAGCCATTTAGAATAGGTGTAAAGCTCGTAGCTATATGCCTGATGTTTGTTTCCTCATTAGCAGAGATGATTTGAAAGGCAGATGTTCTTCTTCTTGAAAATCTGTGATACACCTCTAAACTCCCATATTGTTTGTACCTACAGAAGAAATTAGAACTTCCTCCTATTGTCTTTGTCGTATGTCCCATCGTCCCTAACTGACGCATATTGTATAGTCTACTTGTTTCAAACAAGGTTATGGCGTTTTCAAGATGAAACTGTTTCTAAAACTAAAAAATGGCCAAAATCCAAAGATTACTATCGCTTCATCCATTCCTTGCAATGTTGCATGAGAGAATTTTCCATATCACAGGCACACTTTCCATGGACTTTTCTTTGATTTTGCACTAGAAAAAGATGTTATTGTGGCACTTTGTTACAATTACCTTTAAACAATTTTTTTTTTAAAGGGTGTTGTTATTCAATGGTCTTGATGTTTTCAATGTTTTAAGTATCATTAGAGCTGAAAATTATATATTATATTCTGATCTTGATGTGGGAAGAAATCATATGTGAAAATAATTATGTAAAGTTTGTGATGAAGACAGGGAATGTCCCAGCTTTTTACGTAGGAAAGCAATTTTTTAGCAGGCCATTTATAACAATGTTGAAGGGAAATTCCTAGCTAGCTTTACTCTAAGCATATAAATCCAACTCTCAGTTTATCTCAAAGAAATATTTTCTTTAAAAAAAATAATTGTGCCAATTGCATGGAAATTTAAATATTTGGGTGCATAGAAAATTTTACAAGTAAGTCAAATGAGAATGAGAAGGCCAGTTGTATATAGAATTGCTAAGTTTTTGATTGATGATCATTCAGGCATTCTCTCTACCTTTGTAAAAAAACAGTTACAAAACAGTTGTGATTAATGTATTTTTATTCTGAAGGGAAATAGATTTTTTGTGAACCATAGAATTAACCAATGGAGTCTATTGCCATAGCTGTCCCAGAATACAGTACGCTGTTTTTTCTCAACGCTGGATTAGACATTTATTGATGTGTAAAATAATGTTTGCAATTACATTATATCTTCAGGATAAAAATGATCAGAGTTGCAGCCTATATTTTTTAGGTCATCAACCAATCACTAATTCAATACCTCCAGTAGTCATGCAAGAAGGAACTTAGTTTGGGGACATGCTACTCTATATTTATCAATAATGCAGTTTCATGGACTTTTTGATATCATGAGGTAGAAGAAAGGACCACACAGCAGTATTATGAATGTGTAGACCTCGAGTTGTTTTGGTTTTAAATTCTCTTCTTTTCATGGACCATATAGTATATATATTATATAATCTTCAGTTTGTGGTGGGTGTATTCTAAGTACTAAGGATAGGAATAATACATACACAAATGTGTGAGAACATCTTATCTGAATACTGGAGTAGGTTGCCCAGGCAGGTTGCAGAGTCTGCCTCTTTAGAGATATTCAGAATGCGTCAAGACTTGGTCCTGGGCAACTGTCTCTAGGTGGCTCTGAGCAGGAGGGTTGGGCATAGTGACCTCCAGCGGTCCCTTCCAACCTCAACCCTTCTGTAACTCTGTAACTCTGTAAGACAAGTAGTCCAGTAGTTCTAATGTCTGAAATTCTAACTAGTAGTAACAGTGGCTTTACAGCTATTTTCTTCAGTCTAGCTTTAACCAACTTTTGCTTGCCACAGGTTTAGCTGATATATACTGTCCATGCAAAAATCACCTTGAAAGGATTCCAAAATCAAGAACTATATTTATGGTTGGGAAACCAGTTTGGGATTTTTCCTCAAGACTTAGAAATGTTAAGTCGAATGAAAAAAAAAAAAAGCAATCGTATTTAAATTTGTGTTCTCCTCTCTTAATTTAATTGTATCCTCCACTCCTTTTCAGGGTGCGCAATGATTTTGACGTGCTTACAAACCGGTTGATTGGAAGCCATGGCTATTGCACTCAGGTAGGTTAAGCATGTGGTCTTTGGGGATGTCATACACCTCTGCTTGCAGAACTGTGAACTGGCCTCTGGAAAGAGATGGCATTTGTTATTTTAAATTTCTAATGTTTTTCATTTTTCCCCATGATGTCAAGCACCTTCATCCTTTATTCTTTTTTCTTTATTGTGTTTTGGCATATCGTTAGCTTTGCTTTCAGAGCCTCTGCTTTTTGGCATAGTTTTCTGGTCCATGTGTGTCTGTACCTATATGTGCATGTGCATCTCATCTACCTTTCGTACTCCTTAGTTGATTTCAGTGCTGAGATGCCACTGAGACTGCAAACTGTGTTTCCTCCCTGCCATTTCAAAAAGGTGACTGGGGTTGCATGCCTGATAGTATAGCTCCTCTGTAAATGGTCATTTCCCAGCTAACTGCTGGGAAACTCCTCAAACTGGAGACACTGACTTATTGTAGATGTGTCTAAAAGTCATGTAGTGCATATTCTTCTCTTCTACTGTTGCTAGAAGACTTTTAAACTGTAATTACACAGTCATTTGTCAAGAAGGTGGTGGAACATCACTGGCAGATTAGGTGTCCTAAAAACACCAGTAAGAACCTGGGTTGTCCTTCAGGAGAAACATGGGGCTATAAATGTGTGCAGTGTTTTTAAAATCATGCATCAAGTTCAAACTGGCAATACCGTTGTTATTTGTGTCTTTGAGTATGGTAATATGGACTATTTTTTCTGGAAACATTCTTGTTATTTTCCATCATGTTTCTTGACATACTTTTATTTATTAGTAGTTAGCTTGTTCATTGCTGTAGCACATTCTACTGCTAGATGTTGTTACATGCTGTTACTTCGTAGCTGGCCCTTGTGGGATCTTAACACGAAGCAACTTGTCTAGTATCTCTGCTCCCTAAACTTTACACACATTCACAAGGCCACATGCACACCCCTCCACCCTCTCACATGTATTTAGACACTGACACACCTGTATTTCTAGTTCAATTGGAGAAGTAATCAACAATCTGTTATGGATGAGGAGCAGATGTAAAGCCATATATATGGGTGAATGTCTTACTGAATGAGACTTAAGTTAATCCAGGAATAATCAGTGAGAAAGAAATCTTTTAACACATCTTGTCCAACATAGAAAATTCATCACTAAGCACATGCAGAAATATCAGGTAGTACTGTATAGGCTATTAATTTACATCATTCATGCTGTAGCTGTAATTGTAGAGCAAAAGGGGCACCAAAATGTTTGAATTAAAGAAAAAAAACAACACTCAGAATTTTGAAAGCAGTCTGCCTCTGGAAAGATGAACATTGAAAACTCCGCTAATATTTTCTTGTTTTACTTTGTGAGTAGACATTACCTAAAATTTTGGGGAGGGGGGGGAATTTGTAAGCAATCCTAATCTTACCCTAAATTTAAAGCCACCATATAACTTAAGGGTCAGGTGCATGTGTAACTATTAGTCCTGAATTAATCTTCTACTGATATCTGATAGAGACAAGATGTTTACTGGGATTTGCTTTATTTGTTTGTTTTTTGACATGTCACAAACAGGAATTGGTGAACTTGCTTTTGACTGGAAAAGCTGTGTCCAATGTTTTCAACAATGTGATAGAGCTGGATTCTGGAAATGGCAATATCACAATTTTGAAAGGTATCACAAGCCGCAGTGATATTGGTTTGCTGTCGCTCTTTGAGCACTATGATGTTTGTCAGGTATGCTTTCTATTATTTTGATTTTAATTAAAAGTGACACAATTACATTTTAAATTAGCTTGGAGTGAATATATCAGCTATGAAATTTTGGGCTTGATTCAGTTGCTCACTCAGAGGCATCTAGTGCTGTTTTAGAGCATGGTCACCCTTCTTGATGAAGGTTCTGTGTTACTACTGCCACCCCTTGGTAAATGACTTGAGTGGTCTATAGCTTCTCAAGTCATACATGCCTGTATCATTTTTTAACTGATCTCCTGAATAAGGAGTCAGCTTAAACTAACACTGGTATTTAAGTGGCTGCCATAGAGATCTGTACAGGTGAACTAGGAACTGCTCAGTGCAGTCTGTGAGGCTTAAAGCTGCTCAGCAGACTAAACATACTTATGTGCTCTAATCTGAACACTTTCCCTTGACTGTATTCACTAGATCTCCACTGAGAGAGATCTAGTGGAGTTGAGACACCCAGCTCACATTTGGGCACCCATGTCTTGGTCATGTATATGTAAGCAGCTGAACCTGGAGCAGAAACTCACCCTAAGTATTTGGTTTTCCACAATTTCCTGTGTAATGGGGGATCAGATTGATTGAATCCTCTATGCTGTAATGGTGGTCATATTGTATTAACAGTTAAAAGAAAGGGGAGGGGAGGCAATTAAAATATGTGTCAATATAATGGGAATAGTCCTTTTAACGTTTTTGAAATTAGTATTTTAATTATAGTAATCATGAAAATTAAAAGGTAGATTAAACATTTTAAATATTGACAGCCATTAATTTACCTCTGGAAAAACTTGTATAAGGATTATAATGGTTCTCCATCAATAGACATTGTCATCAAGATTGACATCTTTCCAAAAAACATGTTCTTAAGCAATCTTGTGTTTGATGCAAGGGTATTATTTGAAGTTCTCTTGCTTGTGTTAGATGCTGGATTAGATAATTGTAACAGTCCCATTTGGATTTGCAGTCAGTGCATCTACAAACATTTGAAAGTGATTAGCAAAGAATTTGTTTGTGCTGAACTAATATAAATGTGTGACTGAAATGAAAGCTTGATTTTTAACTGTTTTCCATATGGCTAAAGTCAGTTATGTTTTTCTGCTACTGACAATTTATGATTTTTGTTATTCTTAACTAATGCAGTCCTTTATTCACAAGATTATAATAAGGCTTAAGTTCAGTCAAGGCAGCGTATCAGTGTATCCAAATCAGATTAATTTGGAACAAACCGGAATAAAAATACATTAGCTTCTGTGTCTAGTTCAAGTTCCTTGTTCTTTTCTATGAGCAATGTAACATTTAAAGCATTAAAAAAAAAAAAAAAGGTTTTGCACCATGATAGCATTTTTTTCATTTTCTTGTGAGGAAAATGACATCTAGGTAGCAAAATGGTAAGTTAGGTCAGTGCAGGCAGGAGCTATTTCTTTCCCATTTTCCCTCTAAAAATAAAATAAAAAGTTACTCAGAGAATCAGACACCATCTTCCATCCACTTATTCTGCAAACTATACAGTGAGGGGGGTCTGCTTCTTCTACTGCTGTGCTCTTGCATGAGCTGGGCTCACAGGCAGTGATCTGTTTTCCAAGCCAGTGACTTGATCTGTTACAGAAACTCCAGTAGATGTAGTTTCCTTTTTTTTTTTTTCCCTCAGTCTACATTAGTTAAGCATCTGCTGCAAATTGTCTTGCTTTTTATTAAGAACATCTGCAAGTTCTCTGCATTTCAGTTTGTATGTCTCAGCTCCTGCTGCAGTGCTGCCTTAGGAATAGGGTGGAAGTCAGATTCTGGTGGCCTTTGGTCTCAAGCGATTGGAGTCTCCACAGTGGTTTTTTAGCATGAGTGGACAGATTCTGCTTTCTGTTACAAAGATATAAGTTCAGAACAATTTAGAATAAATGTCACCGATAGTTTGTGGTAACGAAACTGAGTATAGCGTTTGGCTGTAAGTCTTTGAAACTGACTCTTTTCTTCCTCTCAGTGTTTCCGTGGGTTGTTTCAGCATCCAGTTACATTGTGGCTCTGAGGATGGTAACAGAAACCAGTAATGGAAAAGGGTTGTCATTGTTGGTGGGGTTTTTTTTTTTTTGTGTTTTGGTTTGGGTTTTTTGTTTCCAGGAGTAAGAAAACCCTGAGAATGATATATGGTGAATCATAGACATTAGAGTTGGAAAATTCCCTTTAGGTCATATCCAGCCAACCTCTCAGGGGATAATTCAGGATATTTTTATGTCCTGTTATATAGCAAGCTGTCTTTAAAAAATATGTATCCATGAAGTTCCTGCCTTTCTATTTAGCTGTCCGTTTATTAGGTGATTGTTGTACATATAACTGTGATCTTACCTTTTTTCTTACATATCTCTAAAATATGAGAAAGTGCAAATACAGATTTTTAGGCACCTGCAAATATGGAGATTTTAATATCTACTATATAATTTATGCTTTAAATATACTAATATTAAATCTGACTGCTCATTTACTTAGTTTCCTCTGATTATCATTCTTACTTCTAATCCAGCTTGCCCCCTAAACAATTCATACCCATCCGCTAGACATTTACAAGCTGATGTAACAGTTCCTCCCTTTTTCATCAGCACATCCTGTCCACCGCTTATTTTTATTGCTCTGCTCTAGATTTCTTCCAACTTACAAATGCATTTAGGAAGAGATATGGAAGGTTACAGGCTAGATTCAGTAAATCCACATAGAGAAAGATTTCTATATCATGTTATCTCTCTTGTCTAATTATGTGGAGTATTTGTATATATTCCACAATTTCCTTGGTATGTCTTCTGAGTTGAAAATATCATGAGGGCATGAGAGAATTAATCCTTATGTGAAACTTTGGCAGTAGCACAAGTCAAAACAATATGATCAACCCTTTTTCTCCAGTGATTGCCTGAAGAACTCTTTTGCTGATCTATTAATCCCTTTCACTGGATCATGCTGAATGTGTTATCTTTGCTGATTAGAAAAATGTGTGTTTCATGTAATTTGTCTGGAACTGTTACGTCCAATCATCACTCCTAACATATCACCATACTCAGTATGTTTTTGGTAATGTAATTACTTGTTGCAAATTTTGTCACAATGACAAATGGATTTATTCAATCTGTTCCATATGGAAACATTTAGTTCTGTATTTGAATGCAAAAACCCTAGCACTTCAATTCTGCTGCTTTTTGGTAGGCAAGTTACACATCTTTGGATTTTTTTTGTTTGTGCTAAGCCCATATTTAAGCTATATTATTTCCATCTGATTTTACATATTTAACTAAGATATTTAAATTCATATTTTATGTTTCCTGGGATCTCTTTAGAGCTCCTAAAGAAATAGCAACATTTTCAAAATCTGGTCAGTCCACATAAAATTGGTTTTCCAGAGGTTTTACTCTGTTTGCTGGCATGCAGCATACAGCAGTTCAGCAGTAGCTTCAGGGTGGTGGAGTCATTTCTGCAGCAGAGGCAAGACCTCAGAGAAAGGAGTGAGGCAGAGAAGTGGGCAGGGCCAATTATAGCAGTTGCGAGTAAGAAAGTCCCTGCATTTGGGTCAGAGTCTTTGACTTATATGTCACATTAAAACTGCAGGTGAAAAAACCTGGAATGATGAAAATTTTCAAAACTTACTGTGATGTTAAAAACAGAAACAGATGGAAACACATGCTACTTGTATTTATACCAGATCACTTAAGACACTAACAGTGACAAAAGAGAAAAATGATATGCATTCACATCCAAAAAATTTAGAAGATACTATTTTTTAATATATTTTTAATGATAATAATATCTAACATTTGTGTGTCATTTCCTGTGAATAGATCTGTGCTTCACAAAAGAGGCAAGTATCATTAGCATTTTCCAAGGGGCTAACTGACAAACAAAAGTCAAAGTGTCATCCCAGCAAGTCATCCAATAAGCTAGTGGCTAAACTGGGAAGAGAATACAGGTCTTCTGAATCTGTTGTTCTGAAGTAAGTAGGGTACCAGCTGATGAATTTGGCCATCCTTCTGAAATGCTTGAAATCACTTCAGATACGTGCTGTTGTACATGAAGTAGTGGTTACTTTTGAACCTTATCACTGATTCTTCTTTGTCTTCACTGATTCTCTCCTCCTTTCAACCTGGCCTGCTGTGGTAGTTAAACCTACTATTATCTGACCTCCCAAACTCAGCCTACTCTGATTCCTGACAATGTCCAAGTTTCTGCCTGAGCTGTCAGCATTTCAAGAGACTGATGCTTTATAGTTTTTGCAGTTCTGAAGATGGAGAAAGAATGTGCCATTGGCAAAGAAATTATCCTCATTTTTCCAATTTGTTTTCAAAAAGAGGGACAAACATAAATAAGCAGAATTTATGCATTAAAATTCCACAGATGGGAAATATTATCTTTGGTCCTTTTGATGCAACCAGCACACTCTGTGCTATTACAAGCCCTACTTCAATTATTAAATGCAGCACACATGCTCTGTCTTCTGGCACCTCACCTGTTTATTTGCCCTGTAGAACGTCTTTTCTATAACCTTTTTTGCTGGGAAATATGTCTGCTAAACAGGCATCTTTCTCAGTCAAATGGACTGCATTCAAGCCAGGTCATTGGTGGGGTTGCAGAAGGGAGAGGTTTAGAATGAGGGTTTTAACCAACTCGCTTAAGGAATCAACAACAAAAATATGCATATGCAAAATGGAAATTGATGGTTGGTTTTAATTTTCCACTTATTTTTCAATAATGGGTGTGTGGTGGATACTGTGCTGTGTAGATGCATTCGGCAAGGGACCCTGCTGTTTACGCAAGACATTTTTGATCACCACTGTGGGCAAAAATACGTGATACATGCAAATTTGACTGAAACAAGGCTGGCAAAGCATTGCCCATTTAAAAAGTCTGTTCTTCATCCCTTGTTTTTACATCTCCCTTTCTAGCCTGAAACCAAAATTTTAATGAAGTCCTATTGTCCTCCTAGTCATCTGTGGACAGTTATTTTCCCAGAGGCCAGCCACTGTTGCTGGAATATTGGCATTGATTTCTTGTCAACATCCTTACAAATAAAATAGAATCACAAAGATTTTATTCAAGACAATAAGAATAACAAACCCCACATGTTTAAAAGAGTTCTGCATGCTTTGCAAACAGACAAAATAGAAAATTAAAAGTCAAATTTTTCCACGTCTCTCTAGATTACAAATACCTACATGGAGATCCAGATTTATCCCATCTAATTTTAGTTCTTTTATAGGTTGGAAATGCTTAGTTCAGTCCAGCCAACTCCCTTTATAGCTTATGAACATGGGGGCGTCTAAGTTTTTTACAAGACCTATCTTTTCCTTGTTTGATTTATAGACAGCCAAAGCCTAGGGGCCAACCTAAGTGAGAGGGCCTAGAAACAGGTGCTGAAGAGTTAAGTGTACTGAATCTTGACCACCTTTGTCACTGCAGTGAAGCAATTTACTGAAGTGAATTATAAAGTCCTTCATGTTTGTTAGGGGAATGGCAAAGTGCTGAAGTCTGAATGAGGGTCTGAATCTCTCTCAGCATTTCTCCAACTTGATGGGATGTACCACAATAGCAGCAGAATGGGACATGGCTCAATAAAAGATCCTGAGGCTACTTTTGCCTTGCCACAGCAGCATAAAAGAACGTTAGTCAATAGCCAGTGCTTTCCCGGAGTCTTAGGGTTGAACGCACACTTTTTTCTATTCTTCTTCATGAACGTTGCCCTTCTCTCTCCTGTCTTCCCCTGCCCCCACATTCATTATCAGAAAGATTTCCTTTTCTACAACAAGGATTCAAAGCTGCAGAGAAATTATCTAAGGCTGTCACACAGCATTAAGTCATTAAGTTATGCATAGTCTGAATAATAACTTTTGTGAACGTTAGTTTTATTTTTCTTAATCCGATTGAAATCAAGTACATGTCAATAGCATTAACTTTACCCTCACAGTGTCCCTTAATTAGATGCAAATGTAATAGTATTGTGGCTGAGCTGGTATTTTAATACTGCTGGTCAAATAGGTGAACTGAGTCAGTGGTGTTCTTGACCATCCAAGTATGTCTGTTTTTACACCATTGACACTTCAGTGTCAATGTTCACTGTTGGAACATTGTTTAATATTAATTCAGTAAAGGTCATTGCAATTATGGGGAAAAAACATTGACAGAATAAGCAATAGGTTGTGGCCTTTAACTGTGAAAGCTTTGTAATTATCCTCTTGTCTATCAATCCTACTGGATTCAGTACAATTAGAAATTGCACAGTTTGGCAGAACCCAGACCTTTGTGGAATCACATGGGTCTCAGTACTGTATTGTATGATTAGTATGGAAAATAAGCATCTGTTGTATTCATGCAAGCAAACATAATAACTGAATCTAATTTATAATCCAAGTCCAACAAGCAAGGAAGTGAAATTACACTAAGTAATAATAAAACTCCTGGAGAAAAATGGCATCACACTAGCCATATAAAGTGATCCCCCCTGGCTTTGATATAATCTTTTCTTCTTTAAATCATAGCCACTGTATAGAAGTGATAATCTGATGTTTGTTTCTGTTCAAGGTAATGGAGACGAAGAAACACAGTATCTACATTATATTTCTTTTTTGTTTCCTTTGGTATACACAAGGCAAAAAAATAGCCTGTTGAATGACAAAATAAAAGCCAAATGGTGAAGTACCATAAACTCGTTCTGGCAGATACGTTAGAATAATTCTCCAGTAATAAATATTTGTCTGTAGATTTAATTTCACTATTGTGGAAATACACAGTGAAGTCAGATGTGGAAAAAGACCACCCGGAATGTTGAAAATGAGCCATTTAAAGGTGCTTGCTTTTGAAAGGTTGACATTTTCCGAAGTTGAGAATTGTCACCCTGATATTTGTGAGCATTCTTAAGAGATTTGTAAGGGAGAGAATCAGGGTTAGTGAAGTCTCCATAGGAATTAAAAACATGCAGTACAAAAGACACCTAATTCATTCTCCCCCTCCTTACTTTTTTTTTCTGAAGGTTAATGATTATGTTTGAAAACAAATATTTGAATAGCAATGCATTATTACTTTTTAATGCATTGTGTTACAAACCCTCAAAAAACAAAACGCTTTCTATTTTTGGTTTGCAAAGAAGAAATACAGCTGTTGAGCCCTTTACAAAAATAATATTTAATAGAATAGATTCAAGTTACATATCCCTGATTTGCTTTTGGAAGTCGGAGACAGCATTACACTCACAGGGCAGCATACAACAGCTGGAAGGAAGGGCCCCATTCTCTGCCAAACACTTGCTGGATAACACACACTCTGAGTTTGAAGGGTTTCATGAGAAGTCAGAACTGGTGTTCGTACTTGTTCTTCCCTGTTCTGCTTCAAGGTCGTGTTATATTCCAGGATCACTAACACTAGCCAACCTGGCCCGTCAACTGAAGAAGCGCTCACCACTCACCAGCTGGACCAGTTAAATGAGAGCGTGCTTTCAGTCTATCAATAACCAATGCTTCAAGAAGGTGGCAAACGAATCCTCACAATGAGGATTATTCTTACTTTGCAGTAGCATGGTTCCATATTCTATTTTGTAGAAAAAATTTAGACATGATTTGGGAAATGCAATGGGAGAATTTCCTTATAGGAAGTCTAGACAAAGAAATATGGAGATATGCATTTTAACCTTATGGATAAACCCCATTCCATGCTGCTTGACCGTTTCCCATTCCATTCTATTCCCACCAAGAGTGCAGGAATAATCTGAGGTTTCTGGAAAGCCACAAGCCTCTGAAAGGTGATGGTAATAGGACAGAGTGGCCAGTTGTTTTGAGAAGCAGACCTGCAGTGACCAGCCAAAAGCTGGAGCACAACTTGATGTTAAACGCAGCAGCCAATCCTCAACTATAATAATTGATGTAACTGAAACAAAGACTTCCCGCTTTTTATAGAATATGAAGATTTGAACTGAAATGTTTTTAGATTCTCATTATTGTCTTAAAGTTCATGTCCTCACCTTCTTCTACAAGCATTGTAGTTGAAAACTGTGTATGTTTAGAGAAGTTCCTGCAGACCTTACTCATCTGAACTGTTTGTCCTGACTTCAATGAGACTGTTCATGTGTGTAAGAACTGGAGTGGATGTGTGCTTTGAAACACAGTTATATCTCTCTAATCTTGTTTTGTCAAACATTGTTTGATGAAGCTTGAAAATTACTTTAGCAGACATACGTAGGAAGAACACATTTTTAGAAGACTGGATGTTCCTTTCTGGCTTTGATATATCTGCATATTAAAATATGCATGTTTGTGAGACTGAATCTTTTCATCCATATCCCTCTAATTTGCCATCTTTTATTGCATCTGTGTGTTTCCCTTTGTGATAACTCCTGTTATGAGTATTTTTGTGAGCTTCTAAAAAAATTCTTTACTCCTAAGACAAGAATTTACATAAAAACCCAAAACTGTTTTATAAAAGGCTGTTATAAATAGATATTAGTGAAGTAATGAGTCAGGGAACAGTTACTTAATTAGCTAGAGACTTGTTATATAAGCAGAAATTCTCATTGGGGAATATAATTGAATTTGTACTTATGTAACACTTCAGATATAAATTCTAAATCTCAAGAATAAAAATCCCACACACTACTTATCACTTAGTTTTGATGCTGTTTAGATTTTTAATTAAAATAGCATATGTGTTGGCTTCTTGCATTTTAGCAATATATTTGATTCACTTGTGTGCCCAAAATGAAGAACTGAGGAATGGACTGCGGAAGCTGTATCTGTGATCTATATCTAGAAAGCATGTACAAGATTTTTTCCGTTAAAAATCTTCCAGTTTCCACTAGTACCCGTGGCATATGCTGAGACATTATTTAAATCCCATTGTGGTAAAGGCAGAAGTTGCAATAGAGTAGATGATTCCTGTAGATTATATCACCATATTACTATGCAAACCCCTTCAAAACTACCTGAGCCTCTAAACTAGCAAAGTTTCTTTGATCCATGTGTCTGTATTATGGAGGCAGAAACTGATCTCATATTTCTCTGTGCTTATATTTGCACACTTGGCTGCCATTCGTTGTTTTTCAGATTAGTAGCATACCAGCAGTGCAATATCTGTTTAGCAAAGGATATGCAGAACTGATGATAAAGATGGTTATACACAGCATCCTGCACATTAGTGATTCTGTCTATTATATGAATAATAAGCAGAAACATTCCACTGAAAGCAAACAGGAGAAAAAAAAACAGTATTATTTTGAACTTATACATCTTCAGTGACATTCTTAATCCAATAAAAGATTCTGAGTTCAGTTCAGTTGCTCACACAGGGGTGTCTCATGTCATCTGAGATCCTATGAAGTCTCCTGCCTGGCTTCCAGGTACTGTTGCATAAAAACATGGTCCACCATTGATCTCATGTAATATTCCTGACCTAAACTCCCTGTGGTTTTATAGCTATTGCAGAGGACAGGATTCCTTTTGGTTCTGATAATCAGGGATATGATCTTTTCACTGTAAGGTTACTACAGCTGGATTTCATTAACTGCCTACAACTCAGGGCTAGATGCTTGCTTCCTATGTTCCATGATTTACCAGACCTATCCTGATCTGTTTCATCAGCAGTGTATAATGAGTATTCATTAGTGTTTGTGTATGGTAATAAATGAATTGTTTCCCCCCCTGCTCCCCATGATTTTCTAATGTTTTGTATCTTCCCTTTAGGTTGGTTGTTACTTGAAGACCCCTAAATACCCAATTTGGTTGGTGTGCAGTGAAAGCCACTTCAGTGTGCTTTTTTGTTTGGAAAAGGATTTACTAGGTGACTGGAAAACAGAGCGGAAATTTGATCTATATTATTATGATGGTTTGGCCAACCAGGAAGAAGAAATACGGTTAACAGTTGGTATGTACAACTCGGTAAATCTGCATTTAATCTCTGATGGTGGCAACAGAAGAATCCACTAATACAAATTATGGTTTCAGGCATTAAAGATTAGTTGTATGCCTGCTTCATAATTTTAATAAGTAGTTTTGATGATTAATTGGAAATTAGATTTCACAAGGAAATTTTGAGGATAAGCTCCTCAAATGGTTAAATGTGAGCATGTGCTACCTTATAGAGACTGGTAAATCTTTCAGTGACACTGATTTCCAAGAAGAAGATTGTGGTCTGGTCTATTCAGCTATAAGCCATATTTAGCTATTCCCATTCTTCCTCACATCTTCTCACATAATTTCTGTAGGCAGAAAGTGCAAGTCTTCTGTTCCTCAGCCCTACACGCCTGTAATAAAATGAGCAGAAATGGTGAGGAAGCATGAAATCCTTGCCTCCAACAACAGCTACTTCAGAATATGACAGTAATCTGCTAAGAAAGCCTAGCCTCTTACCTGCTTGTAAGCATACCTGGAAACATGCAAAAGATCTTCTGACTTGTTACACTCATTCTTTCAGGAAACCATGCCAAATTATGCAGCTGCTTTTATAGTAATTGTGTGTTTCTCCACCTGGAAGGCATTTGGACAAGAAGTATTCTGATGCTTAGAAAGCTCCTACTTATTGCCATATTAAGACATTCTTGACCACTACATTTCTATTTGCTAATAATATCCTACTTATCTTTTGTTTTCTTTCCTTCAATATATTTACACAATCTAATCAAATTCCTTCTCAATCTTAAGGAGCCACTCTGTTGTAGTCCACTCTTTAAAAATAAGTTGTATTGCTTGTTTGCACCTACATTCTGGTTCTTGGACAGAATGACTTATACATGGGTGTTGTATGTTCTAATTGAGTCCAAGTGGCAAAGTTGTTTGCATGGTGGGAGTGCTGGGGGCTTTAGCATCTCATAAGATTCAGTAGTAAACTTACTTGTCTTTCTGCCTGTTATTTATCATCTTATTTTAATTAAAATCCCTGTCATTCTATTGCAGTGTTCACATTATATATTATCGCAAAAAATGCTTAACTTTTACACATCTAGAGTTGCCAATTGGTTCCCACATGGTCTGTCCGAGATAAAAGATTTTTTTGTGACACAGATGATACAGTTCAGCATAAGAATACAGAGATTAACATTTTTTCTATTGTGTTGTACAATGTAACATATGGTCCAAAAAGAATGCCCTTATCTGTCTTCACGTCATTAGTAAGTAAGGAATGTTTCCAAAATCCAGATCTACCAAGCACTCTGAGATCCCTGGATAAGCAAGTACTCAGAGTATGTGAAAATTTTTCGTTACTGTTCAACCTGTCACGGCATATTTGTACATTTCTCCACAAAAACTTGTATTGAGAGGTAGATATCTTTCTGTTGTGGCTGTTAGCTCTTCCAGGAACGTATCTTAGTAAATCTTTTGCTATCTATGAAATTCTGCAAAAGGCTGTAAAATGCAAATAGTTTCATCATTCCAGGGAAATGCTTTCCTGGCTGTACAGTAATCCTTTGCTAGGTCTGGAGATATACTGAAACTACTTTACATCCAAAGGTAGCATTGATTATACATTTAAACCATGCATCCAGTACCAGATGGATATCTCAAAATGCTAAGTATTACTGGTATTTCCATTGTGGAAATATCAGCAAGCTGTGATGGTTAGGCAGTGTTACCTAACTGGAGGTCCTGGGTGCTGCACAGCCGCATCTCACTGGTGCAGGTTAGCAAAGTCATTTGCTTTTCACTAGCAAGAAGGTAAATTCCTTGAAATGGGAATATTTTTTTATAATTAGGAAGATTACAATCAAGGTCACATTTCAGAAAACCTTGAAGAAATTACACTGGGCAAGAAATCAAGAAAGAGTAAGATTACATTTTACAGGTAATGGCAATTGCCACTTAATACTGAGAATTTGCCCTGTTTCTCATAATCTGTGAAGATGAGAAATATGAAGTTTCTTCCTAAAAGCAGGCAATGCCTGCTAGTGAATTCGACATAATACCCTAAATAGGTGAAGGTTCTTTATTATTTCTGACAGGCAGGGAAGGACAACATGCCAGTGTATCAAAATCAATAACCCTCTGCATTTTGTTCATCTTCTTTTGTTGGCTGTTTAGGGACTGAGTAGAGATTCTGGGATTTTTTCTATGTCACAGAGACCACTTGTATAAAAGTGTGTTATACTGTTCAGAGAGATACTGATCTTCCTTTCTAATATATACACATAGCTTCTACCTACGTTAACATTTATGATAACATAACAAACAGTGTTGTACACTTCAGAGAGATACTGATCTTCCTTTCTAATATATACACATAGCCCCTACCTATGTTAACATTTACAATATGGTGTCTCCAATTAAAGACATAGGGAATTTTTATACAATTGGTTTTAATAAATCATTCTTATATCTCACTGGTGCATATTTTCGACTGGGTATCCTTTTAAAGGTGTTTTCAAAAAGGAGCTGAACAATTGCTAAAATGTATATAGCTGAGTTTCTCAGAAGATACTTCCAGAGTCATAGACACCATCCTCAGCCCCTTTGCAGATCGCACGGAAGGTAGAACAAGCAGGGAAATTAGCCCATGTTCAGATACTGGAGGCAGCTTCTAGGGAACACTGGTATATTAAATATGACACTTTCTTTCAGAATACCTTTTTTGCAAGTTAAGGTAAAATTGCTCCAATGTGCAAAAAAAGTCTTCTGGAAAGGTAGTTAATAAACCGTAACTTCCTAGGTTTGCCGTTAAAATTATGAGCAATGTTTCTTCTCTAGGTTTCTTCTCTGTTCAGTTTCCACTTTTCTGAACCTGTGCTCATTATATGTCCTGAACAGCAAGTTTGTCTGTAACTGTGCTTGCACTTAATTTCTCACTATCCTTAGTTTAGGATATAAGTGAAAATATAATAGATCATATTTGTATCCTTCTTGTTGACTCCAAGATGGAACAGTGTAACTTAAGTATTGCTTGCTGTAAATGAGTTGTCTGAAACACTTTATCACAATTTGTAAGCTAATTAACTTAGCTAAATGTTCTTTGCCTACTCCTGTAAGATACACCTTTAGTGATACTTTTTTCCTTATTCCTTTGCATGAGAAACCTCCATTCAGATCTCTTGGTTGGAAAAACTCAAGTATAAAAATGACAAAAATCAGCAAGTTGACAATGACAGGAAAAGGCAGCCATGCCATTTGCCTATCCTGCTACCAATACTGTAGTCAGGACAGTGGCTGTTGCTTCTCACTATGAGAAGATCCAGAATATTAGTATCAGGAATTCCTAGAGGGGTCCAAATACTTTTGGAGACATTTAACGAACCTTTTTAAACTCTTCAACTCTTCAGCCCTTTGAAACTTTACAGATTCCTGTGTATCTCTAAGTTTCTGAGGATCTAGGAGAAAACTGCCAGAACTTTATGTACTTTTGAATATTGTCCATTTCCTACTACTCCTGCCCTTACAGTCAATCAGATTTTTCTGCATGTATTTATATCAACAAAATCAACAAGCAAGGGAGAGCCAGGTTCTGTCTTTGACATGAGGAAGCCAGATATATCTGAGATTGGCAGCTGTGAATATAAGAGCAATTGCCTCCCATCCTGTCTAGATCAGTCTCACAGAAGCAGACCCATATCCTACACCCCGTCTTGGCAGTGTTTGTTGCGCACAAACCACCCATTGGCTGGGTGACAGACAGAAAAGAAAAAAAAGAAAAATATGTTGTCTGCTTCAATTTAAAATGTTTTACTCCAAAACAGGAAACAGCTGAGCAGACTGACATCCAAGCTGGTCGCAGGATGTTTTCTCCCTGGGAAGTTCAGCAACTACTTTCACTGCTGACAGATCCAGTGTCTGAGACACTGACCTCTCTGTTTTCCCCGAAACACTGCAATTGCCTCTCTGTCCCAAAAGAATGCTCACAGCCTGTGGTAGCTCTCTTACGTCCAACCCAAAATCATCTTCTCCCATCTGTGCATTGCTTTCTCAACAGTCAAGGGACAGTCTTTTTTTCCAAGGTGAAAGAATCTTAACCTGGTTTCAACTGGACTTAGGATTTCCTATTCAAGTGTAGGACTTCCGCTGTCTTTAGTATTAGAGTAATAAAAATTGCTTTCTTTGTAATTATGACATCAGCTGCAAAATAAAAAACTCATTACAGCCCTCCACCATGTTTTTTCAGTTTCTAATCTGAGATTTTCCTTGGAATTGTCTCTGTGTTAGTAAACTAACTTTGGTCAGGGCATCAGTCTGAGCACTGTCCCATGATCATCCTTATTGTTAAGTTGTCAGCGCAGTTCTGGGTATGTTTCTAGCCCCAAACAAGTAATACTGGGCACAATCTGGGATCATTCCTAACAATGTTGGCATTCAGTCTCCCCCTTTCAGCCTTTAGACTTCCACCACTTGAACATGCAGTAGACCATTAGCTGAAAGGGTTCCAGAAGCAAAGCAGTGACTGCCAGAACATTCACTGTAAGGTCAGCTATAAAGCCCCTGCTATTTGCAAAGTTCCAGAATCATGGTTCACACTCTTGAGCATTCCTGGCCCTGTCTGTGTCCTCTCTGTTCAAGTGTTGTGAACATGAGGTGTTATTTCAGTGCCAGCAGTGCTCACTTTCCAGGGTATTTCAATCCAAAGCGGATACATGCCTGTTGTGCACTAGGAAATATACAGTGTGAGTGGTATTTTATCACTTCCATGGGTGGAGTCCTAGAAGCTACTGTGGTATTCTATATGAACAGAAATATGCTCCAGGCACTAATAATGTCTGATATGTCTCTGCAGACACAACTCAGATGTGTGCTGAAGATAAAGAAAATGATCTTACTCCTCCACTTGAGCACTGCATTAGGACAAAGTAAGTGAAACTAAGGTTTTAATACATATATATTCAGTTATTGAGATAAATAATAGATGTAAGGCTCGAGTGTGATAAAAAACATTGCAGAAAGTAACCTTGCAAAATTACTGCTTAAAAAAATCAGAAAAGATCTGATAGGCCAGGCTATGTTAATATGCACTACACATTTAATTGAGTATTGTTGTAGTTAACATCAAGCTGGCTAGGATGTACAATTCATACATCACCAAGAACTGACTGAGCCAAATTCAGTTTGGGAGCACAATTTTATTTCAATAGATCTAAATTTATATTCCTGAAAGTGATTGATTCCCGTTATACGAGTATAATGAGAAAAGGAGAAAATTTCTTCAATCTTCATCAGTCTTTTCTGAAAAATATAATTGCACTGGAGGACCTGGGTATGATTATTGATGCACAAAGCCGTGTGCTCAGTGATCTCAGTTTTGTTAGTTTCCATATGTCTCTGGGCAGCACAGAGTTTCTCAAGATCACAGGGCACTGTATTTTGTGAAGTCATTCTTGACAGTTCTTAGGTCATATTTTCTTAAATACAAAGCTAGTTCCTGTCATGTTAGGATTTTCATGGCCATAGTGAGGTCTATATGATATTAAATTACAGATTTTGAAGTAATTTATCCAAGACATACTCAAGTTGATGAGAATATTTTCAGTTTAATGAGACATGAAAGAAGCAAAATGGAGAAATTTAGCTGGCTATAAAAATCAGCTTTATATCAACACCAGCAGCATGACTTTGAAAACTGCTATCTGAATATCTTTGGAGCAAGAAGTAAAAGCCTCATTGTCAAAGACCATCACATTTGCTAAATCAGCAAGCCAGACAGCTTCAGATTTCTCTTGTAATTTCCCTCTTCTCCTTGCCACAATTTGTCCTGTCAAAAAACACCAAAAAAAATAAGGACAGTGGCTGCCAAAGAGTGTGTTCATGCAGGGCTGCCATTATAAAGTTACAGAAAAGTAGAAGAGGCATCCTGTAACATGACAGCACTGGTATTAGTCGAGGCTCCCTGCACTGTATTGTATTGATTACTCTGTTCCAGTGACACATAAGCATGACTAAAAACTAAAATAAATAATATATAGCCTCAGAAATCCACACAGTGGGGTGAATAATACATTCAACTACTTGAAGTTGCTGTTAGAACATCTTTCATTCTTGGCATTCCATCAAAGTTACACAGTTTTTGTAATGGTGGTATTTGTTTATTTTAAGTTCCCTGCTTTAATCTACTGGAGGAGTAAATTACCAGCAAATTCCAGTGTAAATTTATTTTGTTTGTACCATTCTCAGGACTGTCTGATTTACCCTGATGAGCCTGGCTCCTTGTTTTCAGTGTTCTCCTTTTGCTTTGAGAGTATTTATTTAAGCATGGCCTTGCTGCTAAAGGTTTTTCATGTTATATTTTCCCTCTTTGTTTTAAGAACTTTTTATTCCAACTATGAAACAATATATAAGGAAAAGCAAAACCAAACCCAACTAACCAATATTTTAACAAATTGGAAGAGAAGTAAGGAATGTTTTATATTATGCAACCATGGAAAACACTCCTTAACTAATTTTTAGTCAGGCAAGCAAGGAAGCAAAGAGCTGTTATTTATTTTCATTAAGCATTTTTGATGTAGCTTCTTATCAAACCTTTCTCATAAAAAAATGCAGGATAATTTCTCAGGCAGTGTGGAGAATTTCACAGTCTGAACAATCAGCTGAGGAGATTAACTGTTGTTTTGAAATATTTACTGGGGGTTTCCTTTCATTCAAGGACTCATTTATGTTTTAATCCATGAAAAGCCTTCCCATTGTTTACCCCAATACTTGAACATCACCACCCTGCTGTAATCAGCACCATCATCCTGTAATGCATTGAGTTATATGCCTAACATCTGCCTGCTGTTTGTTCTCTTATCATATCCCAAAGGGAAAATGCATATTTAATAGATTGAAGTTATTGTTATTATTATTAGAGGAGAAAGGTTGGTTTGATTCTGCAGAAAGCGGAGACTCATGTTTTTAGTCATTATTCTACAAAATGTCAAAAGAGCAAGATTTTAGTTGAAAGGAGGTAACTCATCAGATGGCTAGAATCACTAGTCTCTGGCAGTCGTCACTTTAACCTGCAGGTTCCCAACCAGAGCCAGTACATGTGCTTTTATTGTGGCTTTCAGCCCTAGACATCTGTAGAAGCAGTTAGATTTTGACCAAGAGACGTCTGGAATGTGCATCCTTGGGTTGTTTGGGAGATGCCGTGCAGACATCTTATCCCATTCTTCCCTGAAGTATACACTTATATTACAGACATGATCCTTGGCATCTCTGCGCTGACGGAAATAACATCTGTTAGCTCTGCCTGAGGGGAGTAAAACTTTGATCTGATATTATAATCTGAATTCTGTGGTATATTTTGTTAACCCTCTAGCATCAGTTTTCCTCTGTGATAGTGAGGTTGTGTGATACATTAGTTCATCTGTTTGGCTTTGAAGTGAGATATCCAATGGAAACTTAGTGGATATGAGAAGAGCATAGGCATTTCATCCTGAATTATTGGTGTTCTCTAAAACAATACCAAATTATTAATACAGGAGGTATTATCTGAATGTTATTTCAGACTGAGCATTGTTCCAGGCCTGAACCAGTTCCATTTGTGTTCCCGTTAACTCCATGACCCTTGAGTGAGGTGGTAGTTGAACCAGATGTGTCAAATACAGTTTTCAGGTTGTTAATCTGATAAATTATGATTGAATCAGCAGTAGAATCTGTCTCCATTTGAATTATATTGTGGCAGGATAGTTTGGAGAAATGAACACTGTATTGCGTAGACAGCTCTGTTTCTGTCTGTAAAGAAAAGAGTTGTTCAGTACCATCACTGTCACTATTTGACACCTTTTCTTATGCAGATTCAATAGGTGAAAAAGGTTTTGAATCTGTCTCCACAGAAGCAAAGAAAGACTGCTTTTCAGTCTACAGATGGCTCATCAAAAATGGTTTGAAAACAAGCACAGGAGATGAGGCTTGTTATGAAACTTACCTTGAGTCCTGCTTCGAATACAGTTTTCTGGTTAAGATCTTTAAAAAAGTCAGTTCCTTACTGCATAGCAATTAGCAACATCTCAATCCATAACAACAAAAATGGTATCAGCACATTAGTATTTTCCAAGGACGGTATAGTCTCAGAGCAGATTTCATTCAGTGTGGGAATGGCCTTTGTGGGATCTGTGGGGATCCTTCTCAAAGCTTTAATCACCCTGGATATAAGGCGGAGCTTTGGGAAGATTGTAAACGAAGATAAGGGATGATCTGATGGCATTACCTGAAAAATTCAGTGAGGAGAGGAGGTGGTGATTGTACTTCCCACTTGCATTTGGTTGTTCTGACGGCTAATATTCTGACAGGGACAGGTCTCACCACTGGTGAATGCCAGACTAAGCCAAGTATCCCTAGCTAGAACATACTCTGTTAGCTTAAGATGTGAGGCATCACCATCGTGTGTTCCTACCAAATCCTGGGATAAGGACAGTCTTTCTGCAATTTTTCAATTTTTATTTTCTCAGCAAAATAAAAAAAGTGGAAGAATTTCACAACAGTACTCAGTTGGACACTTCCTTTGAGACTTTGCACTGAATACTGCATTAATTCAGCTTTTGGTTTTGTTTTACATTTAATTGACCTTGATCAATGAAAGGACTGAGCTGCCATACCCTTACTGACACATCCTTTCTTCAGTGACAAAAAGAATGTAGCACTCTGGCAACTCAGTGCTCTCTCCACCCCCTCACCAGTGTCTTACTACTGTGCACATGCACTCTGAGACAGATACTAAAACCAAATGTAAATACTTGACACTTTGGATGCAATAGTTTAGTTCTCAGATGTGGATCAGAAACTTGCAAACATGAGAACTGACACAGACAAGGTGCAATTCATGCAACGAGTGACTCTGAGTGTACAGTAGGTTGACTCGCTTTAACCCAGTGAGGTCATTGGAGCATCATCCTGCCTTCACCTATGTTCAGATCTTTGTCTTCTGCCATGATATGAAGACACATTTGGTGACAAATGCAGGATTGATACCTGCTTTGTATTCAGTGTTGGTCATAGTCCTGGAGTAGGCAGCTGAACAGCAGCAGCTGATACAGGTAAAATATTAAAAAAAAAAAAAAAGCTGCTAAATGAAATGATCTGGTCTCAGGGTCTCAGAGTCATGAAGTTCCTAACTAGAGGCCTGCCTGTATGGGAGTGTGCAAATTACCTGTGCAGATTACTTAGTAACAACTGAGCTGAGCATTCTGGTTATATAGGGTTAACTCTTGTACCCATCTTGGGGATTCTCTACAGTCTTTTCAACACAAAGGTACACATTTTGACTCACTGCTGAGCACTCTATTGCACAGAAAAAAAAATGGAGGAAGGGTTAGGAGACTTACCTCCAAACGTGGGCACAAGCACCTCACTTCTCTTCATTTCCCATTGAGAAGATGTGATTAGTTATTCCAAATGAGTCTATCCTAATCTCTCTAAGGTTCGTTGGGTGTTAGAGGGGTGTTGGGTATTGTAATGATCTCATTAACTGACAGATGTAAAATTACTGCTTTCATTTCTAGGTGGCAAGGAGCTGTTATTGACTGGAATGGCACAGAACCAATCTTGTGACTGACCTGACCTGCACTGTATTTGTAAAGACAGAAAGGAAATGACTGAATTAGCACCTACCTACAGGAAATAGGACAAGACTTGTGCAGTTTATGATGAGGAAGAATGACATGGTTTGAAGGCTGGAAGAGTTTCACCTCAGTCACCTCATGCTTCAGATATTTTCTTATAATATAAACAACACTTACGTAAATTCCTTGTCACTGTCTTTTTAACGTACAGCTTCTGAGAGTAGACTGTTTCCACCACAAAGTCAAGGTTACAGATGAAGCAGTGAAGTCAATGTCCCCTTGAGGTCTCTTTCTGGATCCACTCTGTATCCTGCAATTGTTTCAAAGCATCTGATGGAAGATGCTGAACCCAGATTTCTGTCAGTCTACATGCCTTCTCACCTACAAAACTCCAGTGCAAGTATAAAGTATCCAAGAAACATGTACTTGCTTCTTTACCTGATAATAGTAAACTTCCTTTTGCACTAAACACATTGATAACCGTGTGGGCTTTTCAGATAAAGCCTGACGTATACAAAGTTCTTGTTGTGTCATAAAATTTGCAGTGAGGATTACGGTTTTGTGTTTCCAGAATAGTAACACTATTACGTTGCTTACACTGTGTGGAATCGGTGTGTAACAGTGCCTCACACTGATGTAGCTTATTTTTCTTTCTGGATGAGAGACAGCTGTATCAGTGTCTTTATATTTATACCATTGTAATTATACACCAGGCTTTATTAACACCAAATAGAAAAGATCTGTGGTTTGTTTCTTCATAAGTACAAAAAACCCCAGAAGAGCTGTTAGGTTTGAAACTTAAATGGTGCCTACCTGTGATAGATACCAGTTTTCATGATTAACTAAAGTGCATGTACTGAACTGATGTACTGTGGAGATGTATCATGAGGTACTGAATCAGCAGTTTGTATTCTGACTTGAATTCTTTAAGCAACATATTTTGACAACACTTTGCCAAAATTGGAACAAGTTACTGAACTGAAGACTGGAAAAAATGCCTTGGAAAAACAGGCAGATAGATGATTTTTCTAGAATTATTCCTTTCTCTTGAGAGTCAGTATTTCATGACAGTTTAATAAAGAACTTTTGCTTTCAGATATTTATGATAGCACCTTTTTCCTAGTAAGCATTCAGACTTCTCTGAGACCTGATAAACTAGTTGCTCTTCCTAAAATCAATTTCCAACAAAAATGCAATGTCCTACTGTGTGCAGTATGGAAATACCAAACTGACTTTGCAAATACAGATCTTGGAGAATTAGCATTTGAGCTAGATTTGGAAACCAACATGAATATAAGACGTAACAGAATACCAAAGAGGTTTAGGTAGCCTTTGAAAGAATACTGGTCTTCCCTTTGGCTTACCATTTATACCAAACTGCCTATATGCAGTAAAGCACCTCAGACTTTCAGTTATTTTAGTTGTATTTAATTCAGTGTAATGTAATTGGTTTAGGTCAGATAGGCAAATTTTAAATTTTGTGGAATTAAGATCTGCCATTCAGCCTTTGCAGCATAGGCAGCATTGGATGTGAGCTCATTCCTGACTGTACTATATGGGTGTTACTTTGCATTTAGTAAACCCTTTCATCTTTGTATATATAGGGATATGTTTGTACTGTCAGCTATAGGTAGACTCAATACTGCCTTTAAGATACACTCATCATCCATACTTAAAGCTGTCTTTTATCAGAAAGAGCTTGCCTCAGTGCAAGCTTCAATGTTTCTGGGAGCGGAAATCCCAAACAGTCGAAGATCCCAAATCCAAAGCCTTTGTTGCTCTTGAAATTTCTATGAACTGTAGTCCACACTTCAGTATGATTTTCTCACCTACCTCACAGGGCATCTATAATGTAAAATAAGATCTTTTAAAGAGTGCATTTGGACAGGAAATAGTGTAGACATGAATAATGGAAAATTTTTGGAACCAGCTTTAACAAAAAATTCCTTTCTGAATTTTCCAGTCTTGTAAACCTACACCATTTAATTTAAAACATTGCTTTAAACTATGTCAGTTTGGAGATAATATTCCACTCCCTGATAGAAGATAAATATTCATCTGAGGAAGGAGGGAGCTGCCTTGTGACAGGCCAGATTTCATCTGACTGAAATATGTCTACAGTGCAGTTGTGTTCAGAGTAGCTGTTCTTTATTCAGAGGAGGGGAGATATCAGGGTGTGATGTATCTTTGCTTTAGGATGAGAAGAACTATAGTCCAGACTGTAGGATGATGAGTATAAAGAGAGCCCAAGAAGACTGCTCCAAATGGATTTCACCCATGAAGACGTAAGGATTTTTTGGAGTACAGAAAGAGTATAGATTAGTGAATAGAGCTTGGAAATAAACTGTGGTTTCTGGCTAATCCTAGAGGGTAAATGAAGATGAGAGGAAGCCCTGAGCTCTGTCCCTCTTTCTAAAGTAGTATGCAGTATGCATCTATTTTCTTTAATTATGTTTTCCTCTGCATTGTTTCTCATTTTCTTTTTCATTGACCAATGAATGTGACTTCCTGAAATGAACAAAACAGCAACTGTTTGACAACTGAGCATTAAAAGACACCTATGACATTGACACTTGATCTGCACGATGTCTTAATTTCATTCTCTTTTTTTTTTTTTTTCTGTTGCATAAAGAAATACACCCTTTGCTGAAAATTGACCCCTTAGCTAACAACAGACATGACATATTGTGTATGTAGATGAATATGTGAACAGAGGTACTATTTTGATAAGGTGTCATGTACAAAATGTATATTTAATGTTGTCTTGTACAGAATGTCCCATACAAATAAAACAGTTAAAGCAACAGTAATAGTAAAAGCTCAATTTCCTCCTCTTTTTTTCCTTTTCTTTTTTTTTTATAGTTCATTTGCTAGTAGAAAATAATCAGGTAGATTAGATATAAATGTTTGATGGCCCTCATCAGGTCAGTGGAATAATAAGTTAGGTCTCTTTTTCTGTGAAAGGAGCCATAATGCAGTTGGAGTGGGATAAAGTAGCCCATACTGACCTTGGTGGTGTTACACCTAGGTGACTACAGATGCTTAAACCAACTAATCTGAAGCTAGTTTAAACTGCGAGGTACTATTTGACTCTTATGTGCACAAGTCTAATGTGTTCTGACTGAAGCCTACCCAAACAGTAGTGAAAACTGTAAAGATCTTATTTCTTCTTTGGTCTCTGACTTGCATCATCCTGGTCAAAATCAGAGCAGAGGAAGCCATACTGCAGAATTTTACTGGGAGTCTGGGCAGGATGGCTGTGAGTACATACACTGAGTAGGTTTCTTACCCATCTGCAGGTCTTATCGACAGCAGAAAAAAAAAAAATATTTAACATTATACCATCAAACACTAGTAAAAAAACATCATTGTGGGTAAAACTCAGGCTTAATTTGATGAACCTGCTGGTGGTTGTTTTTCTACGTATCTGCCCTTATACTTGTCCAATCTGAGAAAACTTTGAGGTAGGATGACTGTTGTCATGAGTGAATCTCTTCTGTCACCATGTGTTTTGTTGCCAGTTAGTCTGTTGTTTCCAAGTCTTCACTTTTCTGAGGCAGATTTCTTTTTAGGTTTTGCTCCTGATGTATCTAATGGACTAATCTAAAGTGACAGGAAATGGTCACTTTAGAAATCAGAGGAAAGCTGAAGAGCTTGGGAAAATGACAGAGCCATAAAACAGATCCTTCAGAACTGATAAGTTACTTAGGGGCACTAAAGCTCCAATTGCTGAAACTGAAGTACTTGAAGGAGGCACTATGTTCTGGTGGTGGCTCCATTAAACCACAAGCACCTCAAATCACTGGTTGTTTCTGAAAATTATGATACCCTTTTTTTGAAGGAGTAAAATAGTTCTTCAGTGTGCTACATGATTTTGGGTAGATTACAAAAACATAACGTGATACAAATTATAGGCTTATATTATTTTGGTAACCCTGTCTCATTTTCCAGTCCCAGGGTAAGTTTACTATGGAGTAATTACTAAGTAATAATTCAGGACTGAAATTGACCATACCTTGCATAGGGACAGTCATTGTTGGGTAGGTGATAAATAGTTAAACCATATTAAAGTTTGTCTTGTAATAATTTGTCTTTTCAGTTTGTGTTTGCAGAAATGTAAAACTTAAGAATCAAGCACCAAAGTCTTCATGGCTGATATCACTATAGTGACAGGACAAGAGGTAATGGGTTAAAACTTAAGCAGGGGAAGTTTAGACTGGATATAAGGAAGAAATTCTTTGCTGTTAGGGTAGTGAGGCACTGGAATGGGTTGCCCAGGGAGGTTGTGAATGCTCCATCACTGGTGGTGCTCAAGGCCAAGTTGGACAGAGACTTGGGTGACGTGGTTTAGTGAGGTGTCCCTGCTCATGGCAGGTGGTTTGGAACTTGATGATCTTAAGGTTCTTTCCAACCCTAACTATTCTATGATTCTATGATTCTATGATGTTCATTATTTTATTTTCTGTTTGTTAGTTAAAATCACATAGGAAACAGAAAGGTTTCTTCATGGAAAGCAAACAATTGCTCCTGCATGTCTGTATGATCCAGGACTCAGTCTACAGCATAACCTAAGGAAAACTCATTCCATTAAGAACACTTTGTATACACTAGTGCTTTTCATTTGTTTTCATTGGCTAGAAGATAATAAACCTAACATTAGCCCTGAAATAAGGAAGCATTTTCTCTTTAGCAGCTTTGTTTATAAAGCTAGAGAAGGAAAAAGGGCATTTTCAATTGGATATTTTATTTGACATTTCAACCAGGGTGGGGAGAGATTGTTGCTACAGTGGAAAGCAATCACCTTTTGTGATATACCTCACTAACAAGGCTTGTTGACTGTATCAACATGGAAACAAACAGCGATTTTAAAAAGAAAAACTCTCAAGTATGCAGTGACTTTTTCTAGGATAAGTACCAGTAGTCTAAGATTTCAAGTTTCATTTTTTATGTGTTTTTTTAATTTTTCTTTTTCTTGAAGGAACTGCAACAGCTGACACTTCATGGAAGTTCTGTGTGATTTCCATGATGCTGTACACATTACATGCTATTCAAAGCCTATTTGAGAAACCTGAGATCATTTGTGAAAAAACAGAGAATAATGAGATGGCTGTATGCAGTTTGAGATGAGGTGATCATCTGCAAATGCTAGATTCAGATACTCAGAGGTGGTAAATTGAAGCAGCACTGTGACATTAATGCGGCTCTGTAGCTGAACTTATAAACCCTCATTATTTTATGGAGTTTAATTGAGATGCAACAAGACATTTTGATTTTGCAGCTGCTTCATGTGTTGCTTGCTAGGAGATGTTTGCAACACAATCTGTTTGCTTAATGTATCAATGCCTATAAAGGCACTCGAAAGTAGTGAGCATTCACAATCCCAAAATAAAGGCCTTTCATGTGTCTGAAAGTGATCATCCCAAATCAAAAGCTTCTCACATTGTCGAGTAGTTTTGGCAATAGTTATTCTGCTCATTTGGCTTCCCGCTGTAGGAAGTTCAGTCTCATCTGTGACTCTTAGACAGGATCCATCTGATCTAGTCAGAGGTATCTATAGGGTAGATATCTCCATGTAAATCAGTGACCCAGCTCTATCTTTAAGTCATGTGGGCATGAGCCTTCTAATCTGTTTTAGATGCCTGCTAAGTCAATTACATTTTTCACTCCCCTGTCTGCTGCTGTGTGGATCTCCCATGATTATACTATCAGGAGGCTAGGATGAATAGTTCAGATGAATCCTACTTTGTGTGAATGATGAAGCGGGAAAAGAAGAATGTATTTATAGACCCATATACTTGACAAAAGATGTGAATGAGATAAAGGATTAGAGAGTCTTCCTGGCTCTTGTATCGTTCTTACCACTGTCTTCCACAAACAGCTGTCAGCTGTAACATAGAGAAACATCTACATTTCTCTCTTTCTATTTCTACTTCCCTATTTCCCCCTTTGTGAAAGAACTCATAGTATTGAGCAGCAGAAATTTGCCAGTGTTTGGAGAAGGAGCTGCTGATAAAATTTAAGTGCTCATGTGGGCACAAAAGAAGGCATATCAGAGTTGAGACCTGGAAGGTGTCCTGGACATGAGATTTTGTAAG